TTAAAGACAAACTAACAGGTCTGTGAGAGCTAGAATTCTTGCTGGTTGGTAGGTGATCAAATACTTATTTCATGCAATAAAATGGAAATTAATTATTTAAAAATCATACAATGTGATTTTCTGGATTTTTTTTTTGATTCTGTCTCTCACAGTTGAGGTGTACCTACGATGAAAATTACAGATCTCTCCATTCTTTGTAAGTGGGAAAACTTGAAAAATCAGCAATGTATCAAATACTTATTTGCCCCACTGTAGATGAAAAAAATGATTGCCATTTACTAAAATAGACACTTGTACAATTATGCCGGGTGTGTTTATTAAAATTTTTATGCTTTTCTTTTTAATTTATAAAAGTTGTAATTTACTGAACCATGCTTGGGACAGTCACACCATAGGACAATTTTGACATTTGGCTCAAAAATTAAAAAGAAAAATCGAATAGCACTGCAGCTTTTTTAACAACAGTTCCACGTAGGACGAAGAAATGTTTAACGATTTACAGTATTTTAAATAACGACAATATTAATTAATTATATTAATTTTTATCCTGTGGGACAGTGAAAATGCCATGTCACTTCAACTACCTATATATATATATATATACAGTGGGGCAAAAAAGTATTTAGTCAGCCACCAATTGTGCAAGTTCTCCCACTTAAAAATATGAGAGAGGCCTGTAATTTTCATCATAGGTATACCTCAACTATGAGAGACAAAATGAGAAAAAAAATCCAGAAAATCACATTGTATGATTTTTAAATAATTAATTTCCATTTTATTGCATGAAATAAGTATTTGATCACCTACCAACCAGCAAGAATTCTAGCTCTCACAGACCTGTTAGTTTGTCTTTAAGAAGCCCTCCTATCCTCCACTCATTACCTGTATTAATTGCACCTGTTTGAACTTGTTACCTGTATAAAAGACACCGGTCCACACACTCAATCAATCAGACTCCAACCTCTCCACTATGGGCAAGACCAAAGAGCTGTCTAAGGACACCAGGGACAAAATTGTAGACCTGCACAAGGCTGGGATGGGCTACAGGAAAATAGGCAAACAGCTTGGTGAGAAGGCAACAATAATTTGTAGTCATAGACCCACGCATGCTTTGTTTGTGTTACCGTAAAAAGAACATTTCAGAGGAACAAATTATTATTGTTTAGCACAGTAAACATCTATAGAAATATATTTATATAATATATTTGAGAAAAGAGTATTAATAATAAACATGGTCTAAACATTCTTAAAATTGTAGCATTCCTCATGCACTCATATTACTTTTATATCGTATTGTTTTATATTATATAGAGCATGAAAACATCATCGTGTCGTAAGAAATTTAGATACAATGAAGTGCCTGTCATATTCAAAATGTTTCACTCGATTAAAATAAAAATTTAATCAGGAATTATAGTTTGGGAAAAACCCAACTAGTAAATGTGTTCAAGTTTATGCCACAATAACAGGTAAACTAATTCAAAAAATAAACATTACTTACTCATTAGAATGGACTCCTCGGCTGAGTCAGGTTGCGCGTTGCATCTTGTTCCTTTTCTGAGGTAAATCCTGTGTTATTCCTCTCAGCCTGTCTTTTTCCAGAAACAAACAGTAGCCAACATGAACTAGATGAATTCTCGTTTACATGCAGCGAGTCTCATGTGGACGATTGTTATAACAAAAGCCAAAGTAGCTCGTGGGCATGGTCACATTAAAAATAACTAGATCAGACGGAGAAACTGGACATCGCGTTGGTTTCAAACGGATTACTTTATCACAGAATATTTGTTTTCAACACGATTTACTTCATTTAAAAGTAGACACTTCAAGCTTTCTATAGATATATTTCTCATGTCTGTGTGTCATGTATTCGCTGAGTTTCTAAAAGCAGTTCGCGAAGACAGAGAAGACAGAATGCGCAACCTGTTTATTTTCTTTATTTTGCGAAAGCACAAAGTTTTGTTGTTATTGTGAGTGTACACAAATAAAAGTAGACACTTAACAGTTTCGAATGATGTATAACACTTATTTGTGTGACAAAAATCGACAGAGTATGTTTAGTGTCTTTTACACTGATCTTAAAAAAAAGTAAGCTGGTCGTGCCGGCGCGACCGTCGACCCCAGGGAGCAACACTTAGGCCCAATCCCAATTCTACCCCTTAGCCCTTCCCCTTTCCCCTACCCCTCCATTTTGCGCGTTCACGTGAAGGGGTAGGGGTGTCTCGATTCTCTTTTGGTTGGAGGGGTAGGGGTAAGGGGAAGGGCCAGATAGCCCTTCAAACGAAGATTTTTCGGGACCACACTTCAAACGAAGGGGTCTGAATTATCTCAGCGCAAACTGGCTTCAGGGGCAACATGGCTGCCCGAGCGAAGAAAAAGACACATAAATGTAAGCATTTTTGGCATTAATAAAGATTTTAACGAAAAGTAATCATTTGTTTTATGTTACATTCAATCGTGAGTTCATATTTACGGTCATGTTAATCAAAGAAATGTTTGCAAAAAATCGCTAATATTTGCTAACTAACATCATATCATTATATATATATATATATATACTGTATATATGTGTGTGTGTGTCAGTAAGCAGTGCATTAATATAGAATGGTAATTAAAGGCTCTAATGCACACCAGCACACCAGTATGTGTGTGTATTGTAGGAGCTAGACAGCGTATGATGACGTGTGACGTATAGTAGTGGTGTCCCAATTCTTATGGGAATATTTTCACCCCTACCCCTTGACACTCTGTTTCAAGGGACAAGGGGTAGGCGGAGGGGAAGGGGAAGGGGTATAAAATAGAATTGGGATTGGGCCTAAACCTCTGCTATCACCTCTATATCCACACTCTTCTAAAAAGTGCTACAAAATGCGTTGTTAAAAGTCATGGTGTCACCACATGGGGACGTGGTGTGATTTTCATGGCATCTCATCTGGCTGTTTCACAGCCTTAACATTTGCTTCTCTTTTCTGTAATCCCCACTGTTGCCGCCAAATTCAACATTGAAGAATTCATTGCCGGAACACACAAAACCACTAATAGCATGGGAAAACTACCGAAGACTCATTCATAATTGATGCTGTCCAGCTTTAGGAATACATTAGAAATGGAATCCCTGATAAAAATTGCAGGGAAATTCTATCAAGGTGGATGTAGGGTCCCTATTACAACATCAAGATGTTATGGTAGCGCTGTTCTATCTATTTTGTCATAGAGAACACAGAGCAAGCTTGCAACTGGCAAAACCCACAAGCACAATCTTCTACTAAATTCCACAAAGTATGTAGGGGGAACGTCTGTCCTGCAGCCACTTATCGGATGTGTGAGTCTGACTGAAAACAGGTCGGGGGGGGGGGGTTAAATCATCAGGGATTCAGAGTAGGATCATAAAAAAATGCCCTGAGAGTGCAATCGTGCTCCAAGGCTTTTTTCACAATCAGTGTGATGTGTGCAATCATGGGAGTCACAGAGCATTGCGGCAACCCAAGGCAGGCTCAACAGCCACTGTGATGTGAGATTTAGGTCAGGCAGTCAAAAGACAAGAAAGAAAGTAGCGCATGCATTGAGAGTGTGTATCTACACAGGGGTTGATGTCATACTGTGAAATGTCGCTTACTTATTCATTCCCTGATCTCCCTAATGCATTAAAGCTGATTTAATCAGGTGAAATGTATACCACTCACATTTCCCTGTATATTCCAGATATTTTTAACATGACTGGCTTTAAATTTAAGGGGAAAAGCAAACAAATTTCAGACAGCATGGCAGCAACATGCTCATGTATCTTGTCAATGTGACTTCTGCTTTTTACACAAATGATGATGAAAATACCTCAACTTCTGGGAAAACCTTTGTAAACTGTCTCAGCATGTGGGCCAGCAATATATGTACAAAACTCTAATTCAGACACTGTTACAACACTACAGCTTCTGTTTCTCCTTAAGCTTCATCTACAAATGGCACATATAGAATCTTGTAGAATTTCAAACTCTTGAATCAGTGGTGCTATTATGAAGTATCAGCACAAAACCCAACCATCTGATTACCAGAATGTTCATTTTGAAATCAGAGTCTGTAAAATAAACAAAAAAATTAATACATACATAAACTATGCTCTATACTTAAATTTACAGAGTTTATTTGAATTTTTTTTCTTTTTTTTGTGCATATAATACAAATTCAACAGCTAATGGGCAATGCACAATCTTATTTAACAATAAGTTTGAAGTCACAAGGATTTTCATTTTGCTCCAGCTGAGCTAAATTGAATAGGAGTCAAAAATTAAAGTAACTGTTGTCAGGTTAATAGTTTCTACTTAATCTGTTATGCTTAATTACCCATGATGATGTCTGTTGTTTTTCCAAATGTGCTCCCTTTCCTTTCATACATCGATTATTCCCTGCTGCTTCTTTATCACTTTAACATGAATCACAAAAATGATGCTTTGAAGAGAGTGATTACATACTGCATAAGGTAAACAAAGACATATGGTTGCTGCAATCAGTACAAACAGTGCCAACTGGCAGAAACTTCCTCTAAAGTGTGAGGTTTTTGGACACAGGAAATACATTTTCTAATACACAGTGCAAGAAAAATCCAGTTTTGGGCTTGTAGAGGATTTGTTAACTGTTTTAGAAACCCTTAAATAAATAATCACTAGGAAATAAGTTACATTTACATTTTCCTGTGTCACTTGCTCAGTACAGTAGCAACAGAGCTTTCTCCCTCAACCAACCCAAACACTGTTTCCCATCCCTTTCTGCTTGTTCCCCAGTTACCTTCTCCCCAGTTTCCAAACACTCACCAGCCCAGAGGCGAAGAAAACAGCCAACAGAGCCAGGCAGGCACCCATCACAATGAGGAGCAGAAAAACAATAAGTGGGTGCTGCTGGCTCATACGATGGTACGAATCATACAGCCAGTCTGGGGACCTCTGTCTCCGGCCACGCACACCTCCTCCTCCTGTTACATCTCCTCCTGTCCTCTCCAGCAAGTAGCTCCTCTTACGCATGGCCTCCCTCCACATGGAGCTGGCGTTGTGTTCCTCTCTGTTTGGCAGTGGCTGGGGTTTGTGAGGGTCGCGTTCCTCTTCACACAGGTCCTTCAAATGGAGCACTGATGCTCGGGTTGTGGTGCGCGGCCGGTACACCGGCAGGATGGCTTCCACTGTGGTGCGCAGCATTGCTCAGGCAACATATTGAACTGCAGACTGTCAGAGTGAGAGTGAAAGGAAGCAGTGTGTGTGTGCGCGAGTATGTATGTGCAAGGGAGAGAAAGAGAGAGAAAAGGGGGAGAGGGAGGGTCTGGATTGAGGCAAGCAGTGAGGGAGAAAGCAAATGTGAGTGAGAAAGACAGAGAGAAAGGCCAGACAGAAAGGGATGGAGGGGTGGGAAGCGTTTCCTGTCAAGATGATGCGCCAGGTTTTGTTGGAACATCAAAAAATTGTCATCATATACTGATCCTTAAGATGTTTCAGCCCTGCATTATTTTCTTTCCTCTGTGAAAGGTAGAAGCTTTCATTTTCCATACAAGGAAATGGTTTGTAGTTTATACCACCAAGCTCAAAAAAGCAACATAATAGTATCATAAACATAGTATGTCCTTCCCTTGTGCTGGAACTTTCAAATCTAATTTTTGCTGTTGTGTTTGTCACGTAGCACACAAAAGGTGTCAGCAATGTCACACCTGGCACAATATGTCTAAAGATACTTTTTGGGGGGGATTTTAATTGAACAAAACCACAATGCGATCTATAATCCCTGCATTCTCATGAGACCCAATTAAATTTCTTAGCATTCATTTTGAGATGAAGATGGAATTGGAATTTGTAGGCAGGAAATATGTACATGTTTTAAAACAACAGACAGACAGTATACAGTAGCATTATAAAGCATGCAGCCATGCACACAGTAAATGTGCATCAAATAAGACAAAGAGAAAGTGGTCCATTAGGACAATGACACAGCAAAGTGTGGCCACGTATAGTCTTCCAGGAGCTGGAATACAAATAAATAAATAAATACACTGAATATGAAAATTTGAGAGAGTAATTTCGTGCCGATTTGTTTTGATACCATGAGGCACCACTCACTCAATGGCTGCAGATTTCTGGAGGCAATGTAGATTTGCAAGTGAGAGGAAGTAGGAGGGTAGTGAGCCAGTGGATGGTCTGTACACAAGCATCTGTGACTTGAACTTGAGCCACCTCCAGCCAGTGAAGCAAGACAAAGAGAGGTGTAATAAGCACTCTTGGGTTAGTTAAAGAACTTACCAACATAATTCTGGATCATTTGCAGAGATTTTCTTCCTGCATACATTAAGGCAGGGGAATATTGTAATATAGTAAAGGTCTGGTTTTCTTGGCAGTGGTAGGAAAATCCTTGTGACTGGATGATAGGTCCCAACAATGCTGGAAAAAATTTATATAGCCTATAGTTGCAAGGTGGTCAATATTTTACAAACACTTTCTCTTGCAATCTGCAAAATGATCATTATTTTATAAAAATAAGAGGGATCATACAAAATGCATGTTATTTTTTTATTTAGTACTGACCTGAATAAGATATTTCGCATAAAAGACGTTTACATATAGTTCACGAGAAAATAATTGCATTTATAAAAATTTGAAAGTTTACATAAGCTTGATTCTTAGTACTGTGTTGTTACCTGAATGATCCACAGCTGTTTTTTGTTTTGTTTTGTTTTGGTAACCAGAATAACACTAACCACAGCTATGAGCTCTTTTACGTTACAGGCTTAGATTAAACTCTCTTGTCTTTTCCATGCAGTGCCTCCCTTCTCCTTCATCTGTACTACCTCCACCCCCATCTCCCTAGACAGCTTCTAGATTCAGCTTTCTTCCAAATGTCAGGATAGCTTTCTTCCCTCGCCCGGCTTCTTTGTTTAGTCGTTAAGGTGGCTGTCAGATACTGGTGAGCTTTGCAATGAGTACAAGAGAAAGAATACCACACAGAAGTTGCAGTCAGTGACCATTTTTCTTCTTCCAAGACAACCTGCCATTTATAAATATGATCTTAAAAAAAAGGCTCAGTCTGAGGCCTTCCAAATGGATTCTGCTGGGGACAGAAAAATTATTGCAAATTATCAGCTTTCATGTCCACTGTTGAAGCACTGAAGCCCATAATCAGTTTAAGAGCTGGTAAATATAATGTCTTCAAGAGCTGAAAATATGCTTTTTGTAGAAAAAATTAATTGGAGAAAAATTACAGTCAACATAGATATTTCCTAAATTGTTCAAATGCTGTCTTGTTCTGTAGACTTTTAGTCTATATAAAACCCATAACATAAATGGCTTAAAGCATGAAGCTGCGTTTTAATTCCTACTTTAAGACAGCAGACCTGGGATACCTTATTGACTGACTCACAAAACAAATTTAAAAAATGCAGCAATGCCTTCCCACCTAAAGGTTAGATAGCACAAGTAGAGGATTTCAAAGAGAAGATTGCTATAATGGTCTCTTTGGATGGATGTTTCTGAATTCTTTTTTAATGTATTTAAATGTATTCTTTTTCTACACCCAGTGATGCTTTGCATGAATTAAGGGAGTAACTTCTATTAAACTCTTAACCAGGAGCTAAAGGATTGCTCCATAAACACAATCATAAGCATTTTTTTAAACTCTGGGCTACAATGAGGTCACATTATTTTACTCACCCTTCAACCATCTAACATTAAAAGAAAATTTAAGTGCAAAAGTATTAACATATTACTTTCAACAAACTAAGAATAACCCCCAAAATATTACAAACATGTTAAATATCACTGTATTATTTAACATACATTGACTTAATCAAAAATATCCATCAACATTAACATTGAGTGATAATATTTCAACATGATATCTGTCATTTTGATGGATAACAAATATTGTATTTACCTGCCTTAGAAACATAGCAACATAGTAATATGGATTAGAAGTAAAATGCATCCATGTGAAAACAAACCTTGAAAGAGACGTGAAGATTTTTGGGAAGAAAAGCGATAGATTCTTGCATTCCAGTGAAATATTCATGGAAAATATATTCTAAATTAAATCGAGAGAGCAGACCACAAATTCACAGTAGCTATATGTTGTTGTTTTTCATTTTGTTTTAGTGGAAACCAAAGAAAAAAAGAAAATAATCTGGAGGAAAAGAATGCAGCGGACAGAAAAGAGCTCTGGCCATATATATTAATAAATAATAATTTCTTACATTTATATAGCACTTTTCTAAGCACTTAAAGTGCTTTACATTATGAGGGGGGGGTCTCCTCATCCACCACCAGTGTGCAGCATCCACCTGGATGATGTGACGGCAGCCATATTGCACCAGAATGCCCACCACACACAAGCTTATTGGTGGAGAAGAGACAGAGTGATGAAGCCAATCAGTAGACATGGGGATTGTTAGGAGGCCATGATGGTCAGAGGCCAATGGGCAAATTTGGCCAGGATGCCGAGGTCACACCTCTACTCTTTTCGAAATACATCCTGGGATTTTTAATGACCACAGAGAGTCAGGACCTCGGTTTAACATATCATCCGAAGTACGGAGCTTTTTTTGACAGTACAGTGTCCCCTTCACTGTACTGGGGCGCTAGGACCCACACAGACCACAGGGTGAGCAACCCCTGCTGTCCTCACTAGCACCTCTTTCAGCAGCTACCTAGTTTTCTCAGGAGGTCTCCCATCCAGGTATTGACCAGGCTCAACCCTGATTAGCATCAGTGGGTGACCAGTCTTGGGCTACAGGGTGATATGCCGGCGACATGGTGACATGGTATAATTCTTGTTATACCATGTCACAATAAAATACCAAGCATTACATTATTCTCCTGATGTCTGAAAATAGAACATGAAGGAAGTCTACTCATTCAAATTAGCTCATTCTGTCAAACTGAATTATTTCTAGCGCAGCTACATAATTTGATGTTGTTTCATTCTTTTTGAATAGAACTTATTCAACTTGAAGTGCCTCCTATAAGTTAAAACACAGTAGGAGCGTTAAGAAAAACATTGATATTCATACTGGGAGACTTTAATGCAGTTCTCTAATATTGATTACAAAATTATTAAACTGTAAATTTGGTCAGATATTGTTTTGTGCACCTGAGTAATAAGAATCGGAATTATACTGATTATACTGAGGTAAGAACTGATTGAATGTTAATGCTGAAATGTCATGGTTTAGAAACCCTGACATGTACTAATGACACAGTTAATCACTGTGATTTTGGCATAGCTGGGAGCTGCTTGTCTGAATTCCGTGTAACCTTCATCAAACCTCATTCGTTTGTATGACCTCAGCTTAATGACAAAAAGGGTTTGGACAGTTCATATAGATATCAACTCACATACTCAGAACATATAATTGGGTTCACTGACCCAAAATACAACATGGAGAGTCTGTAAACAACTTTGCAAAATCATAGATGTCTTATTGAGGAATATAAAATTGCTGAATACAGAATGACCCATTCCATGTTCCTTGTAATCAGAGAGATATTCAGTACTCAAATAAATCAAATCATGGAGGCCTTAATTTTGCAGTAATGATTGTTTAGATGTGAAGTATGACTAAATGTTGCCCTATGCTCCAACAGGAAGCTGTCCAGACACTGCATACAAGTGAACAATGGTCAGACCCCTCAGTGCCTGACAGTGAATCTTGTCCTATTATTAAACTTTGTGAAACATAGCACCCATTTATAGGAACATTTTGAGCTTTGCCAAAAATGTCACTGCCAACATTAAAGGATCGTTACACTCCACTATCAGGTCTAATCATTACTTCTACAGTGGTGCCTCCAAGGAAGGGCCAGGGAGGGCCGTGGCCACCCCAACGTTGCCATTTCCACTCCCTAGTTTTCACGTTTTGATTTTGAATTTATAATAAAATGACTAATATAACTAATTTTAGTACTGTACTGAAAGACTACAGCAAGAACAATTAAATAATAATGTATTAAATATTTTTAATTAATTTAAAAACTATTTTGCTGACACTGGTGTTTAAGCATAGACCTGCCCTGAGTGAACTGTCAACAGTCCGTTATTGTTTCGATGCCAGAGCAGGTGTAGGCAAGAATGTTTCCTAAGCGATTGAGGATGTTGTTGGATGTAATAATGAACATAGCAGTCGTCATTTACTCCTGACATCTGAGCTGCTGAAGACGCAGAGGATTAATTTAGTTTTTTAAGGGAATGTGCCACCCCAATCTACCTAAATG